TTAAATTTTATTAAAAGCAACTCTCGAATAAAAGCAACTTTTCAGATTTTGGAGCCAAAAATTTGACTATAGTTATTATGTTTTACTAATAAAATTGTACTCAAATAAAAGCAACTCCTTCACTTTGGTTTGAAAAAGGTTTTATTTTTTTTGCAACATTTTGGTTGCTTCTATTTGGTAATATACAGTAAATGATAACCAGATATGACCACTAATAGTAGAGATTAAACTGTCTAAAATCTTCCAACAGTTTGACTGTTTATTTGTATTAACCATTTAACTGTTTAAATCTGGCTAATATTAATATAAAGTTTCTTGTCAGACTGACCAATCAAAATTCATTATTAGTAGATCTACTGGTAGCTACCATTTACTAATAGCTACTGGTAGAATCATAAAAATTTGGTAGAATCTCTATCACTAACCATAGTACATGATGTACTAAATTATAATTTCTTTTTGATAAATTATAAGAAAATACAAACTTTAAAGAGCTATACTACAAAATTTTATTAATACAATTTCTTTTATGTTTTAAGTAAAAAATAATTTTAACATTATTTTAAATTAAGCTATATAAAAAAAAAAAATTAAAAATTTAGCGATTTTTCTCTTTTCTGTAGTACCAAGCCTATATATTCTTGACAATATACTTATAAAATTTTAAAATTATTTGTTTGATTTAATTTTCTGTAACTAATTTTATTTTTTTAAAGATTTGGGATTTGTTCAGGTTTGGCTAACAAGTATAGCTATAACTAGATTTTTTTTAGAAAATTACTATTTGTACATGGTGTGTTTAAATACTTGTTACACGAAACTAATAAAAAAGCCAATCAAAATATAAATTTAAATGCAGTATGCAGATCATTTTTTGTACAACAAAAATAAAAATCAATAATATCTAAAAATTTTGGTTATGAAACCATCTTTTAAGCTCTAAGAAAAAAAATTTCTTGCAAAATTTTACTATAACTATGTTTTTTACTAACTATAACTTCTAATTCTAACTCTAATATTAATTTTCTTTTTTTATCTTAAAGTTATTAGTTAGTATAAGTATTTATTTTAAAATTAATATCAATTATTGTTATACAATTCTGACTAGTAAATTATTAGCTGCGGCTATGCCTTGATTAACTCTAATAAACCTTTTTTCTTTAAATTTTACAGATTTGTAAAATTCAAATAAAAATTTTTTATAAAATTTGATCAAGCAATTGCTAAGATGTCCTTGCCTAAAGTGCCCTTTTTCTTGGCAGCATTTATATATAGTTAGATGGCTATAGATTAAATTAAAATATTTTTAGTTTGATAACAATTATGAATTTAATTTTAGAAATTTACTATTACGTGAATATTACATATATAAGCTGATCTTGACTTATAATCATCACTTTTAAACTTGATCCAAAAAAAAAAAAAAAAAAAGTCATTTTTAGCTGATTTCGAATCTGCGCTTACAGTATTCACCATTATTACAATCAAGATCAATGTCAAAAAACCAAGTTAGATCTTAAAGTTAAGGAATCAGATACCTACGATCCTTCGAAGTTAACGATCAAGAGTCAAGAATCATCAATTCAAAAAAATAAGATTAAAACCAATTCTACAACTGATGAATTGAAAGTTGCAAAAAATCGGTCAACACCAGTCGGCCATAACATGCAATCGAACGTGAATCACAAATTGGCGATTACTTGGACAAATTAGTTAAGTGGGAACTGAATTGTTTCTAAAAAAAAAATTTTATTTTTTTATTTTTAATTTAATTTATTTTTTATTTTATATTTGCCGTATAACTGTGAAATAGTGCATAGGGAGTTATTTCGAATTTCGGCCTGAATTAAGCTTAATTTAGGCCGAAATTCGAAACCACACCTAGGGTTGTAAAATTACTGTAATTTTACGTAAGTTTACAGTAACATAATTTTTCCGAGATCAAAATTTTCGGTGGTTGAGGAGTTACAAATTAAATAAATCAAATAATGCAATAATGCTGGTTGAACTTTTGTAAAGCTGGTACATTATAACGTGATATGTAAGTTACATGAAATTTTATTTACTGAAAATTACATAAAATTACATGTATTGTAAGATTATAAAATGTAATTTTCAACCCTAACCACACCCCATCACGTTATTTCGTAATTATTAATTTTTACTTTTTTATATGTTCATTTTACCGGGCCAAAGGGGAGGGGTGATATTCAGGCCTACCGAAAAATCAATTAAAATTAAATTTCGCTATACATCATACAATTAAAATCAATTAAAATCGTCATAAAATTAATTGAAATCAAATAATAGCGAAATATTTCCAATTAATTGCAATTAAATTAAATTTTCGCACCGCTTAGAGCATTATATACAATACGTACCAATTTTTAAATACATAGTAAAAAATTATAATTGTTAATTGTATGGTGCTGTAATTGTTAAATAGCTACGTACACTAAACTGGAAAAGAACATGCTATACTTATGCAAGAGTTCTCAAACAATTAATAACCTGCATGTACATATAAAACAAATTTAGAAATCTTATACTTTTATACGTATATAATTTGAATTCTGGCCCTATTTTTTTTTTAAAAAAAACAAGTTTAGATTATTTAATTTGGTTGATATCTTGAATCGACCACAATTTATCATTCATTCTGAGCAGCAAAAGGTTTTCCAAAGTATGCGGATCAAGAGATTTCTGCCAATCTGTATAGTAGTATTTGACGATTGAGAACAAACGCTCTACGGCGTTTGATGTGGAAGGTACAATTTTCATATCTATAAATTTAGACTCTTCTAGCTTGCGTTTTTTTAAAACTTGTTCTTTCATGGTTATATATATAGGTTCTTCTTCTGCTGTTGATTGTATATCGTGTTTAACTATAAATGCCTGAAGTTTTTGTTTCTCAGTAAACGTTAATATGGCTTCTTGTTTGCATAACACTTTGATCACGGCCTCTTCGAAAATAACATCATGAATAATTGGAGCATTTCTTCCTAATCGATTATCCAAATCTGGAAATTCTTCAAGTAACAAATCGAAATATGCGCGAACATCGTCTAAATTCATTGACTCATTCTGTAGATCATTAGTTGCTTCTGCGAAGGATTTAAGTTTATTAATAAAATCATTAACTTCTTTAAGATCTAATTGCTCTACTAATGAAATATCTTGACCTAAGAAATAAAAAATTAAAAATTAAAAAAAAATTAAAAAAAAAAATCAGTTAAATTAACCTGAAAATCCATTAGTTTGAATAACATGGGGAATAAGTTCTTTACATCGTTCAACCATTTTTAGTACACTCATCCATCGAGTTGTATTATCTAATATAGGATTTAAAGATGTCACCTTTACAAGTTTCTCGCGATTCTTGTAAGTTCGCATCATTATCACAATTGCACGAATTTGACTTACAAGTGCAGATGACGAATTAATAAGATCGTTAATGGCTAAATTTAGACGATGCGACGCACATCCTACAAGCGGAAGATTCCAATTATTGGCAATTTTCTTGTTAGTGCTACAATTATCTCCCGAAAAAAACAAGATGTCTTCAACACTTTTATCATATGATTCTAGAACATCCTCAAAAAACTTAATATGTGCATCTGCACTTTGAGTACTACGGTCTTCAAATGGAGAAAATGCAAGCAAAACTAAATTTCGGGGTTTGTGAACCGTTTGATAAACGCCAAATAACCCAACAAAGTGAATCCCATTATTTGTCCACCCGTCAAACATAATTCCAATCTTTTTTGGTAAGATATTTTTTATTCTTTCTCGTACGATATCCGCCAAGCTGTTAAAATATTTGCTAACCATAGCAACATCCAATCTTGAAAGACTTGTATGTGCAACAAAATCCGGATTTTCACAGGCGTTGAAAGGTAATTGACATTTTACAATTAGACTTATCCAATTGAAAATATTATGCACATTTGTGCTATAATTAAAAATATCAGCGTTTGCTGTAGAGGTAGATTCAATACGTTGTTGATATATCAACTTAAAACTTTCATGTTTCATACTTAAATGATTCATTAAATTCGTATAGCCACTTCCTTTTTTTTGAGATATTGATTGCGAGCCAGGAGGACACAAATTACATTGGTGTTTACTATCATTTATAGGTTTAAAAAAGGCCTCAACATAAAACTTATTTGAAACTTTCGTACTCGCTAATGCCATCGTAAAAATGAAAAAATAAGCACACTACTTTGCAATTTTATGTATTATGAAATTTAGTTAATAATTTATTTAACTCAAATATATTACATTACTCAAGTTTGACGTATTAAATTAATAAATTTTGTCGGCGAATATATATGTAAGCTAATTACGTAAAAATTGCAATTAATTGATCAATTGTGGCTGCGCCACCAATCAATTAATTGTGTTCGAAAAATTGCAATTAATTGCCCCCGCAATAATTTTTTCGGTAGGCCTGGTGATATTAACCGAAAAATTAACTTCAAGCGGCCTTATTAAAAAAAGAAAATATACAGTACTTTTAGAAATATTTTTATATCTAATAATAATATAATATTAAGCACGATTCTTTAGATGTGTTGTGATACTGTAATATCTTTAGAATGATTAAACAACTTTTTATATAAATAGATGTTTACCATTCACTTAAATTTAATAAATATAACCAATCATTCGAGTGAACAATGATGGTAGGCCACATTGTTAATTTCTCACGTGGAGTTTGCCAATTATCAAGAATTATATCTAATAAATATGAGTAAAACCTCCAACAAAAAAAAAATTCGGTCACTTCGTTCTCAAGGCCTAAATTTATGGTCATTAGCGTGTAGGGGTTATATAACTTTTAATTGTGTTCCGCAAAATTTTATACTCCAGTGAATGTTTCCGTATTACGAATAATTTCTTTCCTTTCCTGCTGTAAGATCTACCTTTTAAATTATCTACCTTTCAAATTCATATCCTCCTAAATTTACTCCTAAACTCACCCGTTAAAAATCATAATGCGTATAAAACTTGCCTTTGAAGAAAGCTTCGGCAGAACACGCTGTTGGTATCCGATTAGTGAATATCAAAAAAGAAATAGCATAAAGGATTTGATCAAAACTATTTCAAATGAATTTAAATTGTCCTATAAGGATGGAATCGAATTAGAATTGGATGGATTTGCACTTTTACCGAGAGCTGAAGTTGAGCTAACGATACGAGATGGTGATATGATCAGGTATCCATATTATCCGTTGCCAAAACATAATTTATCGAATTTAAATGTTATGATGACTAATCCTTACATTTGGATCGTATTTTAGAGTGAAGCCATACATCTCAGGTATCTATTAAACGAATTTACATTGTTTTAAATTTACATTTATTTCAATATTTTTTTTAAAAAAATAGGTTCTAAAGGTTCGATGAAAAGGCCATTTAAATCGGATTCGAATAGCATGAAGGCTAGCTCAAATCAACACGTTACGCGATCTGTCACCAGTAATCATGTTAATAGAACGAGTGAAGATGATACTTCTTCTTCGTCGGAGTCTGATGATTCATCATCTGAGAAAATTACAAAAAAATCAAAGACTTCTCATGAGAATGGATTGGTAAAAGAACAAAAAATTCGTGATCGGATCGATTCTTCGCCGGACGAGGATGAAGACAGTGACTCCAGCTCTAATGAATCTTCTGATAATGAGGATAACGAAAAAGATTCTTTTATTATTGATGACAGCGACAGTTCTAAATCCTCCGTTACTCCCGGTGGGAAAGCGGAAGGTGGCCTGAATGATAATGACGATAGAAGTGATGGTCCTGATGCAGAAAAAAAATTATCAAAGTAAATAGTTTTATATTTTCTTTTAATGCATTCAAAAAGCTAATTTAATATTGGTTATTATTTAAGTTCCGTAGATAATTCCGGTGCATCTCCAAAAAAGACATTAGGCCAAAACACAAATGATCACTCAGAGAAAAGAGCTACACCCTTAAATCATAGTAACGAGCAGCGAAGAGAGTTGAATGAAAAGGTTAATAAAAGAACTAAGGCAAGGAATCGCAGAAAAAGGGTTTTAAAAAATCGATCCAAAAAATTCAGTGAAGTGGTGTTCTCTTATAGAGAAAATAAAAATTCGAATAATAATGAAACTTTAATATCATCCTTGGTAAATAAAAATCAGGATAACGTTCCTCGGGTTCAAGAGTTTGACGAGCCTATTAATACTCCATCAGAATCACAACTTAAACTGAAAGATAGCGTCTCTCATGCTACACGAAAGACTCTTGAACAAATGAAATTGAAACCTCCATTGTCCCTTTCATCAACTTCTAATAAAAGGAAAGGATACTATCAAGGAATACGTAATATAAAACCTACACATGTTAGATTTGAAGATAACGATAAAGGAGACAATGCGTTAAAGGAATATTCTAACTTGAATATGTCTCCTCAGGTGCTTATTAATAATGATGCGGAAGTTTCTAAAACTTATGTTGATGATACTAATGAACCAATGCCTGAAGACCAACTTCCCTCTCCTCGTGCTATCATCACAAGGGTAGACATAATTCGTCCACAAAATGGTCTTAATAACAGTCAACGGTACAGTAATAATTTACGAAAAAAATCAAGGAAGGCAGGAATAAACAAACAAAAGAATAATGCTTATTATTTGGACGACACACACATTAATGATCAGGATGGTGAACCGATGCAGATTGACGTAAATACTTCTACAACCTCAAACAAAAAAGTAGTAACAAATAACATTAATTGTGGACCAGATTATGATCAAATGGAAGATTATAAAGAGCGACCTACTGTTAATGATATAATTGCTTATAAGGTATGAAATTAGACTATTACCATAGATACTTATCGATATGCTGATTGGTTGGTTCGTATGATCAAGGTTATTGAATTGTCATCAACTACTTGGACACCCGAGTTTTCGGAGTATAGAGTGAGTTGGTGTCTATGTATCTTTTTATTTATGCGTGAATCGCGTTATTAATTTCAATATTACAATGAATGATTTATAGGAGGCAAAAATTATAGATTACGATCCTATTTCACATCAAACCATTCTTAAACATCAAAACTTAGATCAGCATCGTAAAGAAGAAATAAGTTCAGATCAAGTGAATTCTTCTCATAATAAGTTTCAAATTGTAGATATGGATGATGAATTTACGGTTGAAGGGCAAGAACCAACACCAGAATTACTTAATATTAATTGGAATGATTTGCATTCAATTAAAAGGTTATAGTATAAAATATTAATTCGTCAATCTTAATAGATATTTTAGTGAGACTTGTTTGGTTTATAGATTGTTAAAAATACTATATAATAAAGCGCACCAAACTTTTGGGACTGAGATGGAGAACACTCTATTTTTGCGTAAAGTAGCGTACGTATGTTGGGTTTAACACGATATCATCGATCTGCCAATAAATATATTACACAAGAAAATGTATTGATTCATATGACGCGTTTATAATAATATGAATAACAGTTATTCTGAAACTATTATGCAGATTCTACAAAATTTATCTAAATCAAACTAATAGGCCATTTAGAAGTATAAAATACCATACCTTCTTCCCTATAAATTCTACCTTCCAAATATAAAATTTTTGTATATTCTAGTAATAATTCATTGAATTTTTTCGTAGAGAATTTATCACTATCTAAACAAAAGTCGACTAAAAAAGGTTTAATAAAATCTTCCCTCCATTCAGATTTTATTGAAAACAATTGCTTAAATCTTTGTTTCGGACTCGATGATAATTTAGAGACTGGAAAGTATCGAATTAGTTGATTTTTTTTTGATCTTCCAATTAAATGGTTTAAGGAGTGATTGAAAATAATTGCATTGTCCTTGATTTATTAAATTAATAAATTGTTAGATAAATATCAAGCAAATAAAATAATTTTAGTTTCTTACATTAATCAAGTTAAATGAAACCTCAACCTCGAAAGGAACAGCTTTATCCCATGATTCAAAAAATAAATCGAGGGGTATACGTTCATTCTAATTAGCACGCGTAAAATTATGATAAATAATGTTATAAGACGTTTAATAAAACGATATATAAACGTTGAATCTCACGTATAACTTATCCATGTCTTTTAACACGTGAATTCCAAAGAATCGACAAACTTTTTCTTTGGATAATTTGAAAATTGGATCTAAATTTCATAAATGTGTCATTAGATACACTTTATAATTCAACAAATATATTCAAATGAATAATTACTTGACTCATCCGTAAAATCAATTGATTCAGAAAAACATTCAAAAATATGTTGAATTATAAATTTAGGATGACCATATCCATTAACCGCATCGCAAGCATTTTTTAATGATATACTCTCTAATTGCGCAGAAAATAGATCAATAAATGAAAGAATCGTACTAAATATATCGTACACATATTCATGGTCAATATATCTCCAATAGCCTTTATTATCGAAAATGGAATAAATATTTTAATACTTGTGATGATAAGGGATGAAATGATCTATGATCCACTAATATAAATAATATACCATCAATCTCCAATGCAAATTTACTTTCAAGAGCCTGTTTTAATTCTTTTACACTGGCTTGCACAAGATTATCCAACTCATCAAAAGTGTAAAATTTTTTCTTTTTAATTGTAAAATCAAAAAGAATAAATGTAGTTAGTTGAAAGATGTATGACGCGAAATAAAAAATACTTACATCTTTATAACCAGATTCTTCCTCAGGCCCTTTGTATATAGTAGGTTGTAATAATTCATTTAATTGCTCAATCTTTGGTGCAGATAAAGTTAATTCACAAAAATAATTTAGAACGTCAACTACTTCAAATGCACGTAAAATTGATGATTCTTCTGACTCGTCAATGTTTATCTGATTTACTCGTTCAGAATCATCATTGCTAATTTTTTCGAAATCATCTATCATGTCAACGTCATTAACTTCATCTCTTTGACGATTTCGTACATTTGGTACAAAAGTAAGTGAAGGCGATAATAAGAGTAGGGAATTACTATAATGCTGTTTACGTATAGTAAAGGTCTTATCTTTGGTACATAAAATAGGCTCTTCGTGAGGCAAAGCAGCCTTTATGCATAAACTGTTTTTTATAATGATGCATAACGTATTAAAAAGCAGTCTCAACGCGTTTTCTTTCTTTATAGTTCTAAATCACTAATAAAGTAGACAGTACCTTGGGAATTCTTCACCTTGTATGCGAATTTCATCGAACAATGCAGCGATCTCTGGTGTCAGTTCAATCAACTTATATTGACTTTGTTCAAGATCTTGAGAAAAAAATATACGCGCGTCCATAATATTTATTAATATAAAATCACAATCTGGCCGAAATTTATAATACGTGATGTCCCACACGCGACTTATTGTGCACCTCTTCTAATATGTCACCAACAATGTTGGAAATCTTACGTTCTCATGTTATCATCTCAAAATTGAGAACATTCTTGCTTAAAAAAATGGTCACTTATTTGACAATTTGTGAGATTATTTGTATAAATTTTTTTATGAGAATATCTTTTTAAACTTTTTAAAATTTGAGAACATTAAAAACCAATTTAGATTTCTATAATAACTCGTTCGTTAATAAAATCATAACTGATAATGAGTTCAAATAATTATTTTTAACCTTTTTATCTTATTCATTAATAAATCCACTATACACTTAAATGCACGCTTGTAATCTATTTTTAATGTAATGCTACATATAACTTGATTGAATTCGTACACAAAATCGAAATTGTCTGGCAAGGAACGAAACGAACAGCAAAAACTATTTACTGTTAGTTAGAGATTGCCAGTTTTTTTAATTATTCTTCGAAAGTTAAGTATTCAACATTCATGAAGAAGAATGTGAATAGCCATTAAATGACAAATTTTCTTTCGATAACATAATAAATAAAGGTACGTACGGATTTTTATACGTATCTGATATTATCTGCTATGCACCTATTTTATCACGTGATTACGCGCTGAAAGAAATCTGTATTACTGTATTATTACAGCCGATCTCGAAACAATTTACAAGGGTCAGAAAATATAAAAAAGTCAGAACCTCTTAAATGCATGCTCTATAAATGCACCCTGCACTTCAGACCAACTACTACGTAACGACACTCAAAATGCATAATTTCTTTAAACGCCAGTCCCAAAGGGTAAATATTGAAATAAATGAAATAATCTAAAAAAAAATTAATTTATTATGTGCATAATTGAGCTACCAAATGTAGTATTTGTATTAATCACTATCATCATCATCCGAGCCAAAAAAATTATCATTAATAATCTTATTTGTATCGTTATCGTTATCTGAATGAATTATAATATATAATATCATTAGGACTTTGTAAATATGTAACGATATAATAAATAAATATTACCTTGTATTTTTTCATGTTTCTTTTTCCGCTGTTGATTATTTTCTTCTTTTTCAATAATTTTCGTTTTCATTTCTTCTCTAAAACGCCTGTTTAAAGAATCCAATTCGCTATTTTCCATTGCCTCTCTTATAAGCTCCCTAATTTTGTTTCTCCTGGAGATCATATTAGGGTTATCGGCATCTGTCGTTGGATAAAGTGACATATATTTACGACCTTTCGGAAAATACTGCATATAAGATCAACAATCGACACATGGTTATGCAAGAAGTAGAAATATGTTGATATTTTTATACCATTATGTAATTATAATCTATCTGTAATTCATATAACTTCTGTTTAGAGCTTTCTTTCTCTTGTGGAGTTTGAGCTTCTGAAACCTGTCTTTCAGCCTTTTTTATTGCACGTTCAACTTTTTTTCTATCTATAATAGTGAGATAATTAAAATAAAATAAAAAAATGTTGAAAATTTTAACGCACAGATCAAATATTCATGAATAAAATAAGATACTACCAAAATGCTTAACCATTCGATATTTGGAGGTAAATTTCTTCTCTTTTGATTCAATAATTCTCTCAATGAGCATTAATTTCAAAGCTTTTAGTTGACGCTCCAGACCTACTTGACCTTTAGCTGAATGTACCTTTTTCTGTAAAGTAGATTTGATAAGGTTTAAAAAGAATTTAAGAACGAAAACAATAAAAGTTAATAATACAAAACCGTTCTTAAAAATCGTTCATTATCTTTCTCAAAGCAGAGATACTCATAGTATCTATTGAGATACATGTGCCTTTCTTAGCTTTATTGCGTACTGGTGGCATTTTAGAATTTTTAGATCAAAAAAATTTTATCGTCGTTATTTATAAATTTTGATTGGCCCGCTAAAATAACCAAAATAATTGGACGAAAATAAAATATATAAAAAAAAAATTCAATAGGGTATTTCATGTGATAAAATCTTCAAAATCCCACCCAAACCCAAATCCCAATTGGATAAACCCCAAATCCCAAACTCATCCCAAACCTATCCCAAATCCCAAATTCCAATCCCAAATCCCAAAACCCAAACACAAACACAAACACAAATCCCAAACACAAATCTTGTTTTTGAAATTTGAAGTTTTTCAAAAAAAAACTTTTTTTTTTTCTAAACAAAACTTTTTTTAACTTCTAAGTAAAGTTGTAGAGAAGTATTGTGTAATTAGAATAGCAGTTAAACCGTTAAAATTAGCCTAGTAGATCATGAAATATAAGCATTTTAGTATTTGTAACTATATGTTTTTTTTATTTATATAAAGAAAACATATAATTGCAAAGACTAAAATATTTATATCTTATAATCCACCAGGCCAATTTTAACATTTTAACTGCTATTCTGATCACAAGGCACTCTTCTACAACTTTACTTAAAAGTTGAAAAGAGGTTTGTTTAGTAAAGAAAAAAGTTTTTCTTTAAAAAACTCTAAATTCCAAAAACAAGATTTGGGTTTAGAATTTGAGTTTAGGTTTTGGGTTTGGGTTTTGGGATTTGGGGTTGGGATTGGATTTGGATTTGAAATAGGTTTGGAATTTGGAATAGGTCTGAGATTTGGGATAGGTTTGAAATTTGAAATTTGAGATTGGAATTTGTTTAGTTTTGCTATATAGGATTTTTAAATATAGGTGGACAAACCTATTTGTTTAGGTTTGTCTATAGCCCAATCCCAAATCTCATAGGTCTTGCCAACAAGTATAGACATATATGTGTTCCAATTTACAGAATCAAAGTTCTTTTTAAATACTTTCTAAATAATACATTTTGGATCTAGGTTGTTGGCAATAGTGATTTGAACCGAGAAAAATTTTCTTAATTGGTTAACCGAGCTGAATTATTTCATTTAACTGATTACCAACCGGTTAAGATTAATATCTATACTACCTTCGGAAATTCTCAGAGCTTTACTCTAATTTTTGTCTTGATTTTTATGTTCATTTATCTTCTGTCAGAACTTTTCAGATTCTTTACTCTCCCTACATCATTTTAACATTTCTTATACCATATTGATCCCACCAACCGGTTGTACCGGGTCAACCGATTAAGAATTTTCTTAACTGGTTACCTGAAATTTATTCAGTTCGGGTCGGTTAACCAATTATAGCTCAACCGATTCAGGTCACTAGTTGGCAATTACAAATCTTATAGCTGGTAAGTATTCCTTTTCCTAATCTAGTTTGATAATATTTTTTAGCTTCAGAGATTATTAAATTTCAAGCTTTGGTAGAAAGATTTGTAGCAGCTAGTACATATAAGTTTTTTTTTTTTTTTTTTTGACGATCATGCCACATGCCCTGCTTTTATTGATCATATATGACAATTCAAAGGATTTTTATATTACATCTTATTACTAGAATGTGACTCACCCGGTTACCTATATAGAGTACCTAAATACTCATGCACCTGTGTGCGACCTGCCAAAGATGATTTTAATCTCCCTGGTTTGGTCAACCTATATCAGGCCGACCCACCCCAGTTCACCGACCTGGTTCATCAGCCCATCATGATCGCCTTCTTTCCCAACCTTCTTCTCCTAGCCTCCTAGATAGAAGAATTCTACTGCAAGAACAATAGGAAATTTAAGAAAATAAAAGGAAATACAAAAAAGGAGAAACCTAAACTAAACGAAACAAAAAACATACACAAAAGAAAAAATAGAGAAAAGGAGAAAAAGGCCGCAAAGAAGACGACCATGACGACACTATTTTTGCCTGTGTCAGGCTACAGAAATTATATAATGTTGTATAGAAAAGAATCTAACCTAACACTATATGTATTAAAAGAAGTGGAAAAGAAAAGAAAAAAGACGTCTAACTATAAGAAATTTCTACACGTGATCCCTTCAATCCCCTATACTATAAACAGTATCGTCGTCATTGTTTATTTGGGAAAGCAGAATTTAAATAAGCTCGTGGGAGGTTCCATTTCGGTAGACACATCCTAATTTGGAAGAAGTAAACACTGCCAATCTTTTGGAGGGGGTACGCCAGTTTTCCCACTTTTTGTCTGAAATTTCTAAAAAAATTCCAAAGTAGCGAGAATATAATAGGAGGTTTTCGGTTGCGAGTACTTTCAAAATTTCTAGGAAGTGTGTTGAAATCCAGAACTTTTGTTGTTTCCCCTGTGTTCTTTTTTGAAGTAACAGCCTTAGAGCTTCGTCAACGAAGTTGGGTTTTCCCACATTCCACCAAGATTTTTCATACAAAGACACTGCCTGTCAGTTATCTTGTATAATAACGCTCTTGGCTTGCATGCCGAACATCCTTTTAGAGGAGTCCCTTAGAAAAGCAGTTGACCTCTAGACAAACCGCACCGTAAGGCCACGTCTCTCCAACAAAAGTTGTGTTTTTTGTTAGTTGAAATTTTAGTACAAATGATCGTCAGGGTCAAATATTTATTATTATATATATTTGTATTATATATTATTATTGACATAAGAGTTAACAGAGACTTTATTAAGTAAAAATATTAGAGTAGAGCCACTGTGGCACATACTGTAGCTAAAATAGACAAGTTAGTATTAAAGATGATACACAGCCTTCAACTTCCTCAACCTGGTCCTCAAGTCTCTCAACTTCCTTAACACGGCCTTCAATTCCCTCAACACGGCCCTCAAGTCCCTCAATTTTCTTAACATGGTCTTCAAGTCCCTCTACTACTTTGGCTTGGCATGTAAAAGATATATAAAGGGTGTATTTCCCCCCTTCTGCTTAATTTAGAGTTCCTACCCCTCTCATAGTATTAGATACTTCTCTTATCCTCTCTTGTAAAGTATAATATTCCTCCTCTAGAATAATTTCTATAAGCAAGGCTTATTACTATCTCTTATTTTAATAAAGTTATATTCTGTTATTATCTCAAATCGTCTGCCTTCTGCTAGTGAAGTAATCCAACCTTTTACTTCTACCCCGTATACATTCATCAAGTATATCACTACACCGGGTAACCTTGTTACTGTGCTATATTGGTATTTAGAAGGCTATAGCATTGTAATAATAGATTTAAATTTTTATTTTATTTTATATTAAATTTTTTCTATATATTATACAAGTTTATAGCTTAATAATTATAAAAGTTTTTTTTTTTTTTTTTTAACTTCGACAATTTTGTCATTAACTTTTATTACTTATTTAACCAAACATTATATATATTACATATATATTTTTATCTATTTAAGTAGTTATTATGACCTCACCTGGCTACTCTATATAGCGCCCAAATACAACTGTCTGCACCATTTCACATGTGAGATGGACATTCTTGGGCACCTCTATTAAGAAGCATCTTAAATTCTGATTTAACTCAGAGCCTTAATATTTTTACTAATTTGTATATACCCGCTATATATCAGTTACATGATTTGTTACATGTAAATTTTTATATATATAAAATTATAAAAAAAATATATAAAATTACTATAAACTTTGATTCCGTGATGTTTCTTCACCTACATATTAATTTAAAATTAAATTGTGCAACAATATATAACACGAAATAACGAAAAAAGTG